GAGTAGCTGGGATTACAGGCACGCACCACCAGGCCCAGCTGATTTTTTGTATTTTTAGTAGAGACGGGGTTTCACCATGTTGACCAGGATGGTCTCGATCTCTTGACCTCGTGATCCATCTGCCTCGGCCTCCCAAAGTGCTGGGATTACAGGCATGAGCCACCGCACCTGGCCCAAGGCACAGATTTCTAACTATAAACAAAACAGTTTTGAAACAGGGTATCATCATTCATTCAACAAATTCTGACTACCTTCGTATGAGCCAGAAACTGAGCTAGACACTTCATTTATTACAGAAAAAAATCACTGAGTGTCTGACACGTATGTTACATGAATTATCGCTAACACTCCTAACAATCCTGTAAAGTAAATATTACCACCCGCATTTAACAGAGGGTAGATACAGGATATGGCCCCTGTCCTAAAGGAGTTGATAGGCCAGTTAAAAGCTGCTGGAAATACAAGGCAAACTACAAGAGATGTTAAGAAGGGACACGTGATTCTTAGAGACAGGTGTGCCTCCTCTGCCTGGAAGCCTTTCCCTCAATTCCTTCCCTCACAAATTCCTGTTCCTCCAAGATTCAACCAAAGTGTTATCTCCTCTGTGAAGCCTTCTGTGATTCTTCCAGGCAAGCTTAAGTCTCTCTCCTCTTGATTTACCTGTCTGTCTTCCTGATAGACTATGAGCTCCTTGGGATTAGGATAAATAGACTTACTCAATTTCACCCACACCTTGATAATAAAAATTAAAGAACTCATGGTTGGAGGAGAAGCAAAAGGTTAGAAGGGTGATCATGAGTAAGAGTTTGCAGGTGTGAATTCAAAGAGTATATTTGGTCAAGATGTGTATTTTGTCAATAAGTGTATATTTGGTCAAAAATATATTTTGTAAGATAGTAATAGGGCTATAGCACTAGTGGCTTTAAACCCAAGAATTTGGACTTGACACTGGAGAAAACAGGGAGTCATTGAAGGTTTCTGAGCAGAGGAGTTATTTGCTATGTTTTCATTTCAGAAAGAATAGTTTGTGTATAGAGTAGATAGTGTCTGAAAACTGGGCAGTCTGTAGCAAATGATTGCCATGGCCCAGGTGAAAGACGATGAGAACCAAACCGTCATGATGGCTTTGAAATGAAAAAACTGGCCGGTGCGGTGGCTCACACCTGTAATCCCAGCATTTTGGGAGGCCGAGGCGAGCAGATCACCTGAGGTCAGGAGTTCAAGACCAGCCTGGCCAACATGGCAAAATTTTTTATTTTTGTCTCTACTAAAAATACAAAAATTAGCCAGGCATGGTGGCGGGTGCCTGTATTCCCAGCTACTCAGGAGGCTGGGGAATGAGAATCACTTGAACTGGGGAAGCAGAGGTTGCAGTGAGCTGAGATTGTGTCACTGCACTCCAGCCTGGCTGACAGAGCAGGACTCCATCTAAAAAAAAAAATGAAAAAACTGGCTGGGCACAGTGGCTCATTACTATAATCCCAGCACTTTGGGAGGCCGAGACAGGCAGATCACCTGAGGTCTGAAATTGAAGGCCAGCCTGGCCAACATGGCAAAACCCCATCTCTACTAAAAAATACAAAAAATTAGCCAGGCATTGTGGCATGCGCCTGTAATCCCATCTACTCGGAGGGCTGAGGCAGGAGAATCTCTTGAACTCATCTACTCGGGAGGCAGAGGTTGCAGTGAGCTGAGATGGCACCACTACACTCCAGTCTGGGCAACAGAGAGAGACTCTATCTCAAAAAAAAAAAGTGCTCGCTTCGGCAGCACATATACTAAAATTGGAACGATACAGAGAAGATTAGCATGGCCCCTGCGCGAGGATGACACGCAAATTCGTGAAGTGTTCCATTAAAAAAAAAAA